AACAGTGGGTCAGAGGGCCCTAGGTTTGTGTTCTAACAACTGGAAAGACCCATGTGTGTTTGTTTTCCCAGTGAATTTAATCCTGAGCGCATGTGTGTATGTGGAATTCACATCAGCAAAGTTGAAGGTGAGCAGGAGGAGACCTGCATCTGAAAAGCCTGATGGTTGCATAGCCCTGGTCCAGGGTTCAAGCACAGGTATTAAGTAGACCGAGAGGCTCTGCTAATACTTGAAAGATCTGTGAGTGTGAGTGCACTTGTGAAGGGAGTGCAAGTGCATGCATTTATGTGACTGAACATCAGGAGAAGAAGCAAGACCTGGCCACCTCTACGTTGTGTGATGTGAATTGCGGCAGTACTACGTGTGGGTGCTACAAAGGCAGCGTTGTCAATGGCAGTCTGTGTGGACAGCCACATTAGTGTCCTCTTAGGTGTATGTGTGTACCTGTAGAACATATCCTCAGCCTCTCTACTGGCCAACCTGCAAATGGGAAAAACAGCAGCCACATCCATTGGACTGGAATGGAGAGACCTGTACCTCTCTGGACTTTAATAGCTGGGAAGGAGGAATAAGCAGATCTTGGATTGCTGGATGAAGTGGTTTTCTTCACATCTTCAACAAAGTGCATTTAGATCAAATTTACTTAACATTTTCCTTTGAATATTGCCAAATAAATATAGACATATGGTGCTAAGTATTTGATAAAATGTCATATCACAAATGAAAGTAGATGGGTGTATTCCTCGTGGCTTATCTATTACATGCAAGAGTTTAAATTAAGCAGTTCAGTTAATTACCCAGCCCAGCCCAAGAGCTTAGCCTAACCCCAGCTGTACAGGCAGACATAAAAAATGATGAATATTCACCCAGTATTTGCACTTATTTAATGACAGTGACTGAAAACTGGTTTTGTTGGTTTTGCTACATGGTGAAAAAGGCACCATTTTAACAGAAGTGTAAATCTAATCCAATTCAATTAAATTAACAGAATCTTTCTGTAAAAAGTATTTTAAAATTAAAAGTGCTCGGTTTGGTTTCATTTAAGCACCAAAAAGGTGCTAAGGCAGTGTGTGCAACAAGGCAGGCTGAACATGTGCATGAATCCCCTTATTTGTCTTCAGAGGACTAGTACATGACTGACAGCATTTAAATTTAGTGCATTAAATACATCACAGGGTTGGTGAGTCCTTGTAAAAGTGCTGACAGAGTGCCCCTCACTGGGCTTTTAACTTCATCCACTTGCAAATTTGAGGAAAGGGTCTTGTTTTTGGTAAGGAGACATGAACAAAGCACTGTAGAATAGACCAACTCCGAATGCTCATAGCATCAACATTTAGTGATTGCAATTTCAGTATCTGCTGTTACATTCCTAATACCAATGCTCAGCTCATGCACCATAAATTCACATACCAGCTTACTTTACAGTAACTAGTTTACATGCTCACATATCACTAAATCATAACAAATAAAGAATGGATTATTTCTTGCTCATTTACTTGTACATGGAAGCCATATATAGCCTAAAAACCAGTTAAACTGACAACTTCCAACCCAGGTAACTCCCAGGTGCAGGCAGTGAGATTCGGAGGCAGTTATTTTGAGTTCCACTTCAGTAACTTGCAAGAGATGTTGGAACCTGATGAAATGCAAGAATTTATTCTCAGTATTGGAAAATGGGAAGAAGTGATGCCCAATCTACAGACATGTGCAAACATGATTGGCACGTCCTGACTCGGCAATAACACGCGGATTGGCATTTTCTCTGCTATTGCTGTTTTAACTGGTATTCTAGTTTAAGCTGTTTGCAAATGCAAATTAGATTTAAATTTTCCCAACATATTTCATTAAAAATAAATATTTTTTTCTTCAGTACAAATTCATTTCCATCATTCTGAAATCTCTTGCTTTAATCAAAATTCTAGTTGTTCTATCTGCTTAGCAGGCTTCTCTAGAAAGCACTGCCATTGGTTTTGAAAATCATCTAAATTCAAAGTTCTGACTCTTGTACCAAACCAACTACCTACCAAGTGGAACAGAAAGCTAGCAAAGTTAACTGTAGGTTAATGTGAGAGGTTAGAAAATGCTTCTTGCCAACTATTTTCCTTTCAGTCTTACAGAAATGGAAACCCCAAGACAGAAGTATTTTAAATCACTTGTTCTTACTGCACCATCACCTTAGTCCATAAGTAAAAACTGCATCTGTCAACATTCCTGTGGGCATTATAGTTCTGCCTTCTAGCAAAAGCCACAGTGAGCTGATAAATCCTGAATTAAACCACCCTTTCTGTGATGCCACTCATGCTGTAATAATACCTGCACATTACAAGCTTAAACACAAATATTTAGCCTACACATATCACTTTCCTCCTCAGTACAATGAACTCCATTCCTGCTACACAGGAGTAAGGGTCCACTTATGTATAGCTGCATTACAATGCATTTCCACTGGAAACTATGGAGATTTAGCGATGACCAGTACGCCATCCACCCAGCAGATTTTAGGACTGGGTTTTATGCCATTCAAATGGAAAGAAATGATGGGATAGAATGGTAGTCCCTGTGCAGCCCTGCCTGCTGCAGCCCCCAACCCTACCTGCTGCTGCTGCTTCACGAGGTAATCCATCACCAGAATCCTTCTTCAAGTGCTATGTCAAATGCGCTAAACTCACAGAGAAATATATATTCATAAAAACATACACATTAAAAAGACATGGCTATAGATTAATGTCACACTACATGACTTTACTCATCCCTACTACTTGTTAAGAACCTGGAAGCACTGGGCACATTCTTCTTGATGAACCTGTACTAGCTAATTGACTGGTAACTACTTTATGATTATACCATTTCAGGTAAAAGGTCTAATCAGAATCAGAAGCACTGACTGAACAAAACCACATCTTTGTAAGCACCAGCAGAAGCAGCAGAACAATGAACAAACAGAACAGTGCGTGTTTCAGGTCACTGTCACCAAACATCATTCCCCAGCAGTGAAACTGCAGAACATGCTGTTTCTATCATGATCAAAAGGCCTGCACTCTGATAAATCAAACCACAGGAGAAATGACTCATCAGCCTTGGCATCCTAACATCAAAAGGACAGTGACATGGCTGCAGCGTATCACATACAACACACTAACCCAAACCCAGAACAGACCATATTTAAGCATACAGTTAAATGAGCAAAAGCAGACAAGACATAACAACATGGCCTAATATCTTTGGAGGCTAAAGACAGAAATATTCAGAGGCACAAAAAAAACCCCATAACAATTGCTGACACCCCAAAGGCCTGAAAGATCTGTGCAAAAGCTAGCTAATCATCATGATTCAAGAAGCCTGCATAGGTAAAGACGACTGCATAGCTAGGGTCTCTTCTTCTTTCAGTCCAGATGATTTGAACATGTCTTGGTACTTGTGAGTATGAGTGAATTAAACTTAGGGGAAAACCATAGTAGGTAAAAACAAGCTTGCTGAACAAACCCCCTAATCACTAAATTCCAGGAAATAAGTTTGTGACTCATGAGGAACACAGAAAAGTTAAAGGCTCTGTAATAAAGTCGTATTTCTTTTTATCCTAACAACTTAAGTCTCAGCCTGTAACCCTAAACTTTCGTCCCGAACATATTATCTTTCAAAATTCACTTAATGAGTATGTTTGAGCTCCATCAAACTTCTGCAGAGCTACAATTCTCACTGTATGTTTATTCTCGGAGACCAAGATTCTTTTCATCCCCAGAGCTGCTAATTCTGAGCATTATGATGTTGTGATATGCCACATTAGATTACTTCTGACAAAAATAGCAGGAGCAATTGGTTAGGAACAGAAAAAGAGGAATAGAAAAAAATATTTCAGAACAACAACATAATATTGTGTCTTCTATAAATAGTGGGTGAATATTTGTATTTGCTCGCTTTCTTTTTTTCCTGAATCCATTGTTAAACCTAAATTTGTCTGAAGAACTTTTCTCTTCAATCCATGTGTCTGTCTCAAAGAGTGTCACTACTCACCCAAAGATATTAGACGCTTTGCAGAGAATTTTGGCTGTAACAATGGGATTAGACAACGCTCTTCAGTCACTGCTGTGGCAGCTGCATTCACTTCCCTCATACACCAGATTCAAAGTCAGAAGCAAATGCTTAGTTTGCAAGCCAGAACATGATCTGCTTGGTATCTACAGCCAACCACTGAAATCCCTGAAAACCTGTCAATGATGTCAAACAGGACAGAAATAGATAGTCTTGCCTATTTTTCCTAAATGAACTTGAATTCATAAAAGAAACAGGAACAAAAACCTTGAAGAGAAAGATTCTCTTCTATCACACCCACTACGAAAACACTACACTACTCAATTTTTCTTGGAAGAGCCACTTAAAGAAATCATGTTTGAGTGTCTGTCTTTGTGTTTCTCTAACACTCTCAGAATCAGCAACAAAAACCAATTTTGTCTTTTCACTCAAAAGCCTTTTTTTTCTTTATATGAGACACACACTGATACCAGCAGGACCTATAAGGAAGGTCATCATGCCACATCACATGGCACTAAGTATAACTAAGTTTGCAAATATCAGTCCTTAACACCAGGTGAAGGAGCTCAAACTTCACCACCACAAACATACATTACTTCTACACTGCCTTACAGTAATCCATTTTGCAGATGGTTTGCAGAACAAAACCAGGAACAAAGTCAAAACAAGGAAACTCCAGCCTCATTTTTTATTACTGAAGATTTTATTGACTGATAAAAGTAAGGGCAGGCATCAGATTTAGTACGAAGCTGCTTTCAGAAAGTATCATGAAAACCGAGCTGCATGACTTCAGAGAGAGTGACAGGCAAAAATTGGTTTTGGGAAGTCTCAAGTCTAAGCAATCCTTCTATGCTGCCTGTTCTCAAGCAGTGCTGTTCGTACCCTTACAGAATCAGTTTTCTGTTCTCCAACTCAGCAACACAATAAGAAGTAGAGCCTGAATTCAGAATGAATAAAATAAGAATACTCACGCTGACCCCATCGGCCTGTTCTTGGATTCAAATAATTTGGATAAAGTCCGTTAGGACGATCCATTTTTTGAAGTAACTTCCGAATGTGCATGACCTAAATGAAATCAAGAATCGTGATCACAACCAACAGCGTTCATCTGCTGTCTGTACATAGTGAAATCTCACATGTTTTCTTTCTCTTTTTTTGGTAGTAAATTTTCTCAATCTGAACCCATAAGCTTTGAGGGCTCCCTGCAGATTCGTATGTTTTTGTTTGTAAAGGACTGCTCACATAAACATGTTTAAAGCCTATAATTTTTAAATGTATGCTGAAACAAATAAGAAAACTTATCATAAAGTTCTACTTGAAAAAGATGTTTATTTGGTAACAGAAATACCTGCATGCAAAAATTTACCTGCAACCAAGAATGCAAATAGAATTCAGTACCAAAAGTACATCCCCTTTCACACAATTTATCATGAAACAGTGTAAAAGACACTTGGATGATAAGAAACCTGAATTTGAGACGCACCTTGTTGTAGTATACAGGGTCTCCTGTCAAATAGCTGAGGTGGACAAATTCCATGTGCAGAGTACCAAACTCAGCGAGGATGCTGCTGCCGGCAGAGGCCCAGCCCCAGTTTCTACCTACACCACTGGATTCCAACAAATATGCATAGAAAAAAGGAGAAAACAAGGAAAGAATCAGAGTTACAGCACCAGTAACAACCACCCGAGCACATTAAGCAAGTAACAGCAAATTATTAATCTGTATTTAAGATTACAAGAGCTGTTGTTTGATTGATCTGTTGCTTCATTGGTTGTGTCTTTGTGGAAAAAAAGATACCATAACCTCATCATCAAAAAGTCCTGTGATTAAAAGATATAATATTTTGATGTGACAGAAATATAATGTCTTAACACTGGGCCCAATCTCAATTGCTTATTTATTGTATTTTTTTAAGAACAAGAATCAAAAGCAATTATCAGATGAGTATACTTCCAAAGGTGGTAGCATTTGCTTCCTTGTTCTGCCAAACATCTGCTCTGTTCCCTTTACTTGTGTGAGTTGTGCTTCAAGCTAGTATTAGACATTCCATTAGGATTGCAGTGGGTCCTATCTGTATCTACATAAAACAGTATGTTTACTATAGGCAGGCACATTGTGATTTCCTCTGTCTGACATAAAGAATCAATCGAAAGCATCATATACCTCAAATCTTTTTCACTGTAAGAGATACCATCTTGGTTAAGTCACAACTCCTAAACTATCTCTGGTTTAACTTAATTTGGGAGTTTTCAACACCTTTCAGGATTAGGTCTTTTAATTTTCCTGGAGATGACTTCTACTTTTTCTCATAAAAATTTCAGTTACCAGTAAGACTACAATCAATTAGGAATGACTTCTTGTTTCTTTCAATTACAAATTAGAAAGAGGAAATGTAAAGGAAAAATGTTGGTTATGGAGCAGTATTTGTAGCTCTGACCCCACCTTTTCATAATACAGTAACTAGAGCGTAGAAAGACAAAACCAAAGCTTGTCTCAGGGGTTTTTTGGTACGGGTCTGATAACAAGAGAAAATGAAGTGTTTCATTATGAATGCAAAAAGCTAAAAAAGCCATAAGACAATAAATCACCAACTATTTCTTTAAGGTCTTGCCTTCTATTGCATGTGAGCTTCATGATAAATGTTCTCATATATGCCTGCTACTGTCACCGCCCTCTGGCATGCCAGCCACTGCTGTCTCGTCTGATGCTGGCTGGTTCTGTACATTATCAAGAGACTGATGCAGTAAATGCATAAACAATACCATCAAGCAGGAAGTTTCTGCCACTCCAATCTTTTCCCTTCCACCAACAGCAAATCCTACTCCCTGGTCCAGCCTTTCTGACTGTCCTCTGTATGCTTAGCCTCCATGCTTTCCTGGTAAGTACCCATGCATCTAATGCTTGCAGCTTCTTAAACCTCACCATCCGTGTTGCTTGAACCTGTGAAGCAGATGCCTTTGCTGCCTAAGGAGGATGGCCACTGGGGCCTTTCAATCATACTGGAATCATGGTGCAGTGATTGCTAACCAAAGCAAAAACAAAACCTTAACTTATGCACAGAGGAATTCAAGCCCTATGAAACTGCAGAAAGAACACAAGACTGAGTAAACTATAATTCTGTGCTGAAAGTACATAAGGAAATTTAACCCAACAATAGTTAATTGCACAGAGATCCAATAAATGGCCTCAGAGGGGGAAGTGCAGCACAGGTAAAGCAGAGAAAACCAGGGCAAGTTGATGAGGCCCTGTGCCAACAGAAAGGCAAACCACAGCTCCATGGTCTTCACTCGAGGAAAGACAGCAAAGGGAGAATTGTTTCCTGATCCCAAAATGCATGTAAGGCTAATGCTCTCAAAGTCATCTCAAACCTCAGCACAGCCTAACAAAGCACACCAAATGTCTCTCCTAAAAGGAAAACAATTTAGAACAATTCAAAGCCCTCTGCTATTTACCATCATGAATTGCTTAGGAGTATACACACAATCTAGACATGCATCTCAACTCAGCTACTGTTTAAGTACATAAGAAAGGTATTAAAAACACCTTGCAACAAAACCACTCTCATAATCTATGGGAAATCCCAGGACTAAACAAGCAATGCAGGGCAAATTAACCAAGGCAATTCTCTTCCACAGACCATCTAAATTCAGTGTGAGTCCCAAACAGCAAGCTAAAGAAACCTCTCCTCCACACATCATCGTGGATTTCAGCACACTAGCCTTTATAGCTCAGCTGAACTGTAAGATGAATGAATATCTGCAGTGTCCCATTGTTTTCTCAAACACTGTGAGTCTTCTAAAGGTAACATACAGCTCACACAGTACATAAAACCCAGGAAGTTAACCATGGCCTGCAAACTATTTTGTTTTTTTCCTATAGGTTCTTTAAAGAATCAATGATTGAGCTCTAGGGCAACACATGGAATAACACACTAGGTATGTTCCAATGCCGTGTTGAACTCTTATTGCAGAATCAGGAGGAAAAAAACAACATGGTCACAGTCTGTTGCAGGTAAGGAGACAGGATGCTCTGAACTATTCTAAAGTGCCTGATATGCCAATTTGTCTTGCAGCATCTTCTACAGTCCCACTACTAGGAAAAACTGACATACACCATTACTCTTTGTAAGTTGGGAAGGAGGAGAAAGAACATATTTCCCCACAAAAGAAAATTCATTACCTTTTCAGATTCACCATTGCCCATGGTATACCCGTAGGTGTGTTGAAAGCTGGAAGAAGTTTTCCTGCCAGTTGCACTGCTTTGACCTTGAAAACCTAAGATAGTAGGATCAATTGCAAAGAGTTACAAAGCCTGATCTACCTCCAAGAACTAAAAAGACTGAAATCTCCTTGCCCCACCCACCTCTTTGTATTAAAAAGCTTTACATTGCAAAAAATATGGTAAATTGCAATTTTTTTTCAGTTGTTAACTTTATAAATTTCATTAAGATTTGAATGTGGAAAGTAAACTTGTCATTTTGAGTTCTTTCCTTCCATATTCACCAGCAACAGCACTTAGGTTCCAACTAAAGAAGGATATAAATTCTCCTCCCACCTTCCTCCACCAGTATTAGGAATTTCAAGTGTTTTCTAAAGGAGTCTTTAAACTATACTTTATATTTGTAGCTAAAAATCAAGATAAGAGAAAACTCCCCCACCCCATACACAAGTATTTTAACTTTTACAAATTTCCAATCTTGTTTTAACAAGAAATATATATATATATAGTGCAGACAGAGTTTCTATTGTTTTATGAACATTTTGCAAAACCATATATACACAGTTCCCTGCAGCTTTTCCTTCACTGATAATGCAGCAAAAAATGATTATAGGCTTCATCTTCCTCTCAAGTCTGACTACTCATAAAAATTACTGATGGGACAAAATGTCTTTCATTTCTAGTGTTGTTTCTACTTATTTTGGGCCATAAGTCTGTAATAGCCTCATTCATAGCCTAATATTTATTAGTTAAATGAACAATTCAGAGAAAGTTCCTTCTAAGCCTATAGGAAGCACCTTTTTCAAAGAATGCATTATTTAGTAGATCCCCGTGACATAAAACTGGTTTTACCAGCTAGTTGCTAGCATACATTTTCAGCATTCACTCCATTTCTGCAGAAGTATCTTCTTTATTTGGAGATAACATTATTCATCAGTTTGAAGCATTGTATGAACATATAACTAAAAGAGCTACCGTGCCCCCAAATAACTTATGCAACATGGACGTACTATAGAAACATCATCAGTCTGGTGACCCGCAACAGGACACAAGGAAATAGAATGAAGCTGTATCAGAGGAGGTTCAATTTGATATAGGAAAAGGTTCTTCACTGAGAGGGTGGTCACAGCACCAAGCCTATCAGAGTTCAGGGAGTATCTGGAAGATGCTCTTAGTGAAATGATTTAGTTTTAGGTAGTCTGGCGAGGAGAAGAGTTGGACTCGATGATCCTTATGGGTCTCTTCTAACTTGACATGTTCTGTGATTCTATTATTATCAACTACCTGAGCAATATTCTGTAATCAAGAATAATAAAAGCTTTAAGAAGGACTGCAAGAATGGATTTATAAAAGGCTCTGTTGGATTTTTAAAAACCGATTTCCCCCTTTTCTAAAGTCTATGGAGGAAAACAGAAGAGATACTCACTGGAGAAGCAAGCTGAAAAGTTACTGAAAAACAAGCAATCAAGAACATCCTCATGTTTCATATGAAGGTAGGAAAAGATCAATATCTTAATATTTGAAGAGATGACTAGTGAGACATGAAATAAACCAGAAAAGAATATTAAAGTTGACATCTAATTGTATTTGATGCAGTGGAGTATGGAGAGATGGAGGTGAATCTGAAAGCAATGAGCCAGGAAAAAGAACTTTTACAGAGGTACTCTAAATGAATTGTAAGATGGGATATGTCTAAACTGAAAAAGAGGACACCTCAGAATATAGTTCGATAGAACTATGAAGTAAGAAAGGCAACATGGCTTGAATGATTTTTAGGAAAGATACTGACAAAATACAATCTCTGAGAAAATATGCATAAATTTAGCAGTAAAATCAAGATAACGCATTCACCTTGAATACAGGACCAAGGCAAAATAGGAAGGCATAATATAAGTAAGAAGTATAATGTAGGTAGAGTCTATGGTAACTGGGGAGAAAGAAACCCTGAAGAGAACTAAAAGCTCTATCTTGGCTCAGTTCTATGTAAACTACCTGATGTGCATACATAAATACATGTCAAAAATTCACGCTGAACTTTTAGATTTGCAAGTAGTAGATGGGTTGAGACCAGACAGAACAATCTATAGAGAGTCATCCAAAGGGAGGTCTTCTATAGTTCAGACAAGCTTCAACACATAATCCAGAACAGAGTGTTGACTTCCAGTTAATGGCCCCTAGTTTGGAAAGACATTTAGCTTCAGCTTTTGGATCCTGCACCCTCTGGAAGTGCCACACATTACTGCATTATTCATTAATAAAAGATACTGAAGCATTAGGGTAAGAATATTCAGTGGGAGAACATCCCTAGAAAATTCATTGCTAGAATAATATTCTTAATCGGTAACTATCTACTGCTTTCTGGCTTTTAATCAATTTGAAATATACTACGACATTTGGGAAACAAGTTATAGCATTAGATTTCTTATTACTGCCACCTCAGTCCTATCTCACTGCTGTTTCTGGGTAACAAAACCACCCAGTGCCTAACCCACTATTAATATATGCAGAGTGGAGTGAGAACTGGGAGACAGTTGCATATGTTTTTATGAGAGCAAAGTGACCAGAAGAGCATATTTAGAGAGATGTAAAGAAAGAAATGCAGCCAGCAGCAGCGGATGAGATGCCCTTTATGGGAGACTGCAGGTGTGATGAGAGTGCTCTGCTGAGCTCATTACAGTGACTTCTTTTACTGAGTTTCAGACTTACCATAAGAGCTTTAGCTTTTAAATAACATGGTGGCATCAGGCAAAGAGGTTGCTGAGCACACAGGAAAGATTTTTACCCTTTTTTGTTTTTAATAAGTTGAACAGATAGATTCTATTTCAGCCCTATCAGTTTCCTGTTGGCAGGCAATGCATTTCAAGAAATATATAGGCAGGAAGAAGAGAGAACAACAAAATGAATGGATGCCTGGAAAATAGATCTCATTAGGAAACAGTAAAAGAATCAGGGTTATTGAGTTCAGAGAAAAGACGTTCAAGAGAGCACAAGATAAGGACTTTTCGGTATATAAAAGGCTAATACAATGAAAAAGAAAGGATTTTGTTTGTTTTTCTGTGGACATGAAGAATACAAAATAACACTAAAATGAAGCAAGAAAAAGTAAATTAGTTATTAGGAAAAAAAGTTGGTGATAAGGATAACTAATACTGGGGCGTGACCCTGCTGCAGAGTCATCCGTACAGCTTGTAAAAACACACTACAACGCATGCAACTATAAAGACCAATGTGATTTGACTCTGCCTGGGAATGGAAGACTAACTTCTACACAGCTTCCTTACTGCTCTTCCAGCTATATTGTTCTAATGGGTTTATCTAGCAAGGTTTTGGTAGTGGGGGGCTACAGGGGTGGCTTCTGGGAGAAGCAGATGGAAGGTTCCCTTCTGACACACAGAGCCAGCATCAGCTGGTTCCAAGATAGACCCATCGCTGGCCAAGGCCAAGCCCATCACTGACAGTAGTAGCACCTCTGGGGTAACGTGTTCAAGAAGGGGAAAAGACCTGTGCAACTACAGAGAGGGGAGTGAAAACAGACAACCAGCTCTGCAGACACCAAGGTCAGTGAGGAAGAACAGAAGGTGCTCCAGGCAATGAAGACGAGGACCCTCTGATGCTCTCTGCAGCCTGCAGTGCAGACCATGGTGAGACAGGCTCTGCTCCTGCAGCCCATGGAGGTCCAAAGTGGAGCAGATAACCCCCTGCAGCCCATGGAGGTTCACAGAGGAGCAGATATCCTCCTGCAGCCCATGGAAGTCCATGTGGAGCAGATCCACCTGCAGCCCATGGAGGTCCATGGTGGAGCAGATATCCTCCTGTAGTTCATAGATGACCCCAAACCAGAGCAGAGGAATGCCCAAAGGACGCTGTGAACTGTGGGAAGCCAATGCTGAAGCAGCTCCTGGCAGGACCTGTCCCCATGAAAAGAGGAGCCCATGCTGGAAGAGGTTTGATGCAGGACTTGTGACCCTGCAGGTGACCCATGCTGGAGCAGACTGTCCCTAAAGGATGCACCCCATGGAAGGGACCCACACTGGAGCAGCCTGTTCCTGAAGAACGCACCTGTGGGAAGGACTCACACTGGAGCAGTTCATGGAGCACTCTCTCCTATGGGAAGGACCCCACACTGGGGGAGGGGAAGAGTGAGGAGTCCTCCCCTGTGGATGAAGAGGGTCATAGAGAATCTGTGATGAACTGACCACAATCGCCATTCCTAGTCCATTGCACCACTGTGTCAGAGGAGGTAGAGAAAATCAGGAGTAAAGTTAATCCCAGGAAGAAGAGAAGGGTGGGGGAAGATGTTTTAAGATTTGATTTTATTTTCTTATTTGAGCCGATTTGACTGGTAATAATTGAAACTGGTTTCCCCAAGTGGAGTTTGTTTTGCCCGTGACAGCAACTGGTGAGTGATGGCCCTTGTCCTCATGTTGACCCACAAGCTTTTTGTTGTATTCTGTTTTCCTGCCCTCTGTCCAACCGAGGAGTGGGAGTCATAAACAGCTTTGGTGGGTAGCTGGTGTCCAGCCAGAATCAACCACCACCAATGAATCAAATGGCTTGTTCCATGCATGTGAGAGGAAAGTGTTTTGTCTCTCTTGGGGTCTACTACCTACTCTGTAGACCCACACATCACCTTTGTAACTGGTACATAAGTCATAGAGACCACCCACCCACCAGTTTCATTGCTATGTGCAGTACAGGACACTGTAAGAGAGAAGGGGCGTCACAGAAACTGCTCTCCAAGAAGTGCTGCTCCTGCAGGCTAAATCCGTCTGTCTTCAGATGTGCATTCCCACTCGCATTAATGACAGAATTTAGCATGTGGAGGTAACAGATCAGAGTTTTATTAAAGTAAAGGCCCTCTAACAGCTCTAGCAAGACATCGTAGCTTGGAGATGCAAACATGTATACTAATCCCAGGGGAGCTGTTCTGTCCAGTCTCAACATACAGACATTGGTTTCAGAAGCCACCACAGACTTGGAGAGGTATTTCCATTTCACACACCAAAATCTAATACACTAAATCTATCAGTTTACATGGTCTTAGGTAGGCTAATGC